GTCTGTCTGTCTGTCGGTCTGTCTGTCTGTCGGTCTGTCTGTCTGTCCGTCTGTCTGTCGGTAACGCGGTCAAAATGGCCATTTTTTTGGCACACGTGATCATTTTTTTGGTACACGTGACCATTTCTTTGGCACAAAGGACCATTTTTATGGCACAAACGATCATTTTTTTGGCACAAGTGACCATTTTTTAGCACAAACGACCATTTTTTTGACGCAAACGACCATTTTTTGGCACAAGTGACCATTTTTTTGGCACAAACGGCCATTTTTTTGGCACAAAAGACAATTTTTATGGCACAAACGACCACTTTTTTGGCACAAGTGACCATTTTTTTGGCACAAAAGACCATTTTTATGGCACAAACGACCACTTTTTTGGCACAAGTGACCATTTTCGTGGCACAAATGGCCAATTTTTTGGCACAAGTGACCATTTTTTTGGCACAAACGACCATTTTTTTACTAAAATTCACTAGGTAACTATGGTACAAATGAGCATGTAACTATGGCACAAACGGTCATTTATTTGGTAGAAACGACCACATAGCTATGGCACAAGTGACCATATAGCAATCATAGTACAAACAACTATTCCGGTAACTATGGTACAAATGACCATCTAAAGACTGATGTAAATGAACCCATAGTAATCATGGGTAAAATGTCAATGGAATAACTATAATTCGGGTAGTGATGTAAAACGGCTTACTTACAAAAGCATTTAATTAGTGAGAGTCAGATCAAATGAGCAGTATGGATTTAAAGAAATCGTTTAAATTATTCATTATTGTAAGATTGATTGTGCAATGTTGTATCAATGAATATCTAATTTATTAATAGTTTAGAATTAATGCGTGAATTTAAGCATAAAATATTGATTAATAAAACTCAAATTTTATGAATAATATAATTCATATTTTTGTACGTACAAATAGCGCCAATATAATTATAAAAAAATCGTATTGTTGTCTAATCTTGTTGGGCGCTATTTATATTCATAAAAGCAAAAAAATAAAATAAAACAAAAACGATAAAAAAAAATTAAATTTGTAAATGCATCATCTTTACTTAGAGTGAGAATTCTCCAAATTAAGTTTTCTGGTCGCCTAAGATATACTGGTCATATTATCAATGTTGCGTATTACTTTTTTAATGTAGCTTTTTATGCTATTCCATCCGTACACGTATTGTATCAGTCTAGGGCTAAGTGAATCGCTTGACGATGAACGTTACTTGT